GGGGGGGGGTCTTCGACCTGAAAAATCAGGGGTTAGGATTTGCACCCGGTCGAAAGAAACCTTGCTATCGCAAGAGTAACTCCAGCTAGCTTCGCTAGCTTTCGTGACAAAGCTGGTGAGCAATCTGGGCAACTGGGCAACTTTCTCGTGGTCATCTAATAGTAACTAGTATATCCTAGGCTTGTTCCCAAACCATTTTCTGAATACGGGCAAAGAGCATTGATGCATCCTGCAAAATGGCAGCTTCACAAAAAAAGAAAAACAATAATCCCTGTGGCGATCCACGAAACACAACCCCCTCACTGACATGACAAACGGGTATATATGTATAATATACAATATATAGACATCCGCCAGTGCAATATAGTGCAGTTGTGTTTTTAAATGTGGCCAAGCATCGCTTTACTTGAAGCGTACTGTAGATTTACAGTAATCAATCACTCAACTTCACAAACACAAATAGATCAAATAGAAAGGAAGCGGTCAACTGGATGGGGTCACTGATATGCACAATCTCACCCCTATCATCATTCTCAAAAACGGACAACATCAGGCGTCCAAAATCCAGTCCTGGCACCTTGTGCCAAGCGCACATGTGAAGGGTCAACCCCTTGTTTATGCTCCATTGAAAGGCGGTGATCGTTTCTTGCTTAAACACATGTCCACTGAGAAAAGCTGAGTATCAAGACGCTGGTGCTAAAATGGCAGGTCATGTAAATGTGGCTGCATCGTTTGATGAGGCTTTCCGACATTCCAGCAGAAACCATCCCAAACCGGACTTATTATAGTCTTGGCATTGACAAACAAGCAGCGTATCGTCCCCGCACCTCCCACTTTGTCTCCATCTTTGAGTTTGCTTGCTTTCAGCGGATGATCAAAGGAAATGCAGTTGTTGAGAGTTCATCATTCCAAATTCTTGAGAAGTCTAATGAATTTGGTGCAAACAAAAGGTCGTCTCAGGTGTAGTAGCCAGGGCCGGAACTAAAGAAACACTCGCTGTCCTTAACAAATGTAGCCCAACAAGGGTGAAGCATGCACATGATATACAGGGCACAGGGTATTTGGAATGCATTGTGCACAAACTATGCCGCTCAAAATCTCTCTCGTTGACACTGGAGGAACAAGGAAGCCTGTCGTGCGCGGATCACAATGAGAGCCATGAGAGGGAAAGTGGAAAGTGGTCTAGGGATGTTGGTATTGAAATCGCTTGGGTGGGAGAATGCAACCGTGAGGCTTGAAATGCTGTGTATGCGGGCTTCTGAGTGCACACTGATTGTTGCCAAGTGGAGGTGGGGTCAAGGAGCGATCGTTTTGATAGCATAGATCAAAGGAAACTAACTGTCTATGGCGTGACGGAAAGTTATTCACGTGCAAGGGATCTTATCATTTCTTCAAAGGATTCGAAGGACATGTGACATGATTATTCTAGTTGAAATGACAAAACGCCTGGCAAAGGTTATTGTACGTGTGTCTGCAACAGGATGCCGGATGTGGCCGGAGATTAAGATGCCGGCCTTCCCTCTTCCTTTTTTCGAGAGGGAGAGAGAGAAAGAGAGAGAGAGAGAGGAAAAAAAGGATGGACTGTTCAAGGAGAGGCGTGCTATTGCATCCATTTTTGGCTCTTGCAACATCTTCAAGAACACTGGCATCAGCTGGGTTATGCTGAGTAATATGTCCAATGCCCCAAACCCCGTTTTGGTTTCCATGGGAATGGCTGAAGTGCACCAGCCCAATACCAGTCCTCGCACTACGAGCCACACTTCCCGGGCAGGAGCCATGCTCTCAAAATATAGCATGTTTTCACAAAGGATGTTTGATGTTTTTGCGCGTCCACACCATACAAATTACGTCCTGACAATGGGACGCAGCGCCTGTGCCTGTGGCAGTGGACGTTGAGAGTTCGTGGACCACCCTGTCACCGCGATGGCCAAGGCAAATCACTCCCTGGCCAGGCGACTACGTAGGGTGCATTCCGGGCTACCTCGGGCCTATCAAATCTTCAGAGGCAAACGTGTGATGATAGCAAGTGCTTGTAGCCAAACGCCGCGCAACACTACATTAGTACAGCGACCGGTCTTCGACTTCATGCAGGAATTATAGCAGCTCTTGAAATGTTCTGGATCACTTCCCGCTTATTCCTTAATTAATTGACCGGGTGCACCCTAGAAAAGGCCCTTCGTCGGAAGTCGCCGCATCTGTGCATCAAGTAGTTTGACTTACAGTAAGTACTCAGTAAGCACTGGGGTAAAAGTGCTGCGCTCTTTGCATGTTTGCCTGAGTGGCTTTGTGGCCCCATGTCTTGCTGACCAGCATCCACTTTAGGGTTGTGAAGGCACCCTGGACACCAGCAACAAAACAGTTCAATCGAGGAATTTTGCTACATCCCGTTTTAACATGTTAGCAAAGCTGGTGTGTGTGTGTACTATAATGTGTACATATATTATATATATACATATTAGTATAACACATGTGAGGAAATTAGGTTTGATGCGTAATCCGCAAATCATGTGCATACATATATATATATACATACTGTATGTAATATGTATATATATATACACACTCTCTGTCAGTCCTTGCACTGAACGTGTGTGTGTGTGTGAGAGAGAGAACAATTTAGCAACATGCCCCTCTCTCTCTCTCTCTCCCCCTCTCTCGTTCTCTCTGTTCATTTCCTGGTTTGGAGACTCGTTACAAGCCGGATGTCGGCTCAAAGAACTGTCCGCTGCCAGAAGCCGACCGCTGCAAAGCTTCCGAACCTTGAGCAAAGGATGGGGTCCGCATCATCTTGGTGTCTGAAAAAAACTTGGGGGCACCAAACCGCGCTACATCCACAACCGCTGGGAGCACATGTCCAAAACTTGATATGGGGACCGCTAGGCTCGCCGCTAGGAGTTTAATTGTTCTTGATGCGAAACCTAGGTCAGTATCAAAATGTATCAAATCATCTTCAAACCAAAATCTGCCCGACCATCTTGCATCTAGTAGGCCATGGTCGAACTCCTGTGTACAGTAGCCATTCGTCTGACCCACTTTTGGGAAGCCCAACGTTGCGTCCGGCAGTGTGCCCCACAATGATCATCTGCACACCTTCAGGCCTCACAAGCTCCAGAGCCTGAGAAGGCCGCTGGAAAGGGTGACGCGCTGAATGGAACAATCATGGAGGTTCCTGAAACCGGGCACATCTGGTCCATCTAGTTTCATCCTGGCGTGTTTGACGTCTTGCAGGAGGAATTAGCAAAACAATCGCGTATGGAGAGTGCAGTCATCTGCTGGAAAAGCAATTGGAGGTGTCGCAGTGTCGCAGTCTCGGAGCAGAAGCTGCATCGATACAATTGAGTAGTAAGTATCCGCCGAACTGCAATCGGGTACAAACAGCATAGGATGCAACTGTGCTGCAGGTCCATCACTGTGAATTTTTCAGTATATACTTTCGACAAAATTCAGATGTGCGATCTGGACTTGGCGGTGCAGCACTTGGACCAAATCGTGGACTAGTGGACAATTCAACCTCAGACTCAGCTCTGGGACCTTGTCAACTTCCTTGCACCCACCTCTGCCATGAAAGTCTCTGTAGGTCAAAGCCTGCGACTGTGAGACCGTGGTTCAGTTCATGAGAGCAGTATGGAGTGATCTTTTTCCCAAACATATGCATAGGTGCAGGATGTCTGGGATGTGTGCCTCAAGCGCAAAAGTTGAGGATTGCCTGGCCCTGCGCAACCCTGCGTGATTTGGAGGATAGTTTGTTGGTCACCGTTATCATTGTTAAGCAATTCACATCAATTCAAGGTCTCTGTGTCAAGTAAACGCAGCCTCGTGCAGCATCTCCAGGTTTCTGCCTGTCGGCACTGGATTGGTGTGCCTTCCCACAATCTCCCCACCACAATCGCCGTGCTGCATCTCAGTTCAATTGCAGTGGCACCGTATCACCTTCCCTTCTTCAATTGGGCTGTGTCTCTTGCCTAGGGCCTATATACCAATATTATACTACTACTATATATACATATACATACCTATATACCATGATCCTTCGTGCATGGTCGCCAACTGCGACCTGTTCAAAAGACTCCACTTTTTCCAGTCATCAAGCTTCAAGGTTTTCTGCGGCTTCGCCGGCAGTGATCCTAGCCATAGCCTTCCCGCCAGACGCGGGGTTTTACGGCGAGAAAAAGGGTGCGGCCCAGATCAGTTGAAGGTTGTGATTGGGGCTACGCTTCAGTCACCACTGGTGGTCACCTTCTAGTCACCCGAAGCACTCTTTGGTCTCCTTTACGGGCTGTAAGAGACAATGTCCAGGCGCAAAGGCCCTTCACGGTTATTGATAGACCTTAGCACCTCAGCCACGGTCATGTTTTCGGTCCCATTCACGGCAGAAATCCGGTCCATGGGCTTGAGACCAAGGGCTGAGGCCTCCTCGGAGACTGTGCTGATGACAGCTCCGGTGGTCTCCATCTCGGCATAAATCCCAAAATCAATGCCTCAGCACCCAAAAAACCAGTTGTTGACCTTGAACTGCAATCCATTTTGTTGGCTCTGCTCTTGTTGATCCACTGTGCAAAAACTGACAAATGAAGAGGGTAATTTCATCCTGGCGACCTTTCTCCAAAGTTACCTCCTTCTTCTGGGGACGCTGAATGGAAAGCTCCACATCTTCGTTCTCGACCAAGATTTTGGTTCTTAGTGCAAATGGTTTGTGCACTTGTGCACACGGGGAATGTTGGGGATACTTCTTGCCAAGCAATACAGCAAAAACACGTATATATATATATACACACCAAAATAGTATATAATGCCTTATCATTCCTCCAAGTCAGTCCTGTCAACAACTGACAGAATCAAAGGGGCAACCCCAAGGCAACCATGCTTTCAAACCCGCAGCCGCTACTGTCTGTGTCAAACATGCATGCAAACATCAATGGGCCGACCCCAAGCAAACTACATGCAAGAAAGCCTCAGCCTGGCAGCCTTTGCTCCGATTCCATTCACCTTCACGATGCGGTCGAAGACTTCCACATCTTTGAGCGAACACCATGGCTCAACCCGCTTGACGATGCAAAAGTCCTTCATCAGAGTCTCCACGCTGCACCCAAGTTTTCCTTCCTGTTTCGTCCCTTTTGCGGTGAACTCCACCCACATCTCTTCTTTGGTATCTGGCTTGGTTTCCTTGACTTCAACCTTCTCCTCCACCTTTTCCACCTTCTCCTGAACCTCTTCAACCTTCTCCTCAACTTCCACCTTTCTGGAAATAGCATGCAGTATTTTTCGATCCAACATCATCCAACATCCATTTACATGAAACCCTAACCCAAAGGACCAAAAGAAACACAATCGCACAATTACGTGTCAGATTGATCTACATCTGGAGAAGAAAACTGCAAAGCTTTTTGATCCACAATTGAATTACAATAAATGCAATATGTTCACGATAATATGATATAATGCTATAATATGTTAATATGTCTGCCAACCTAACTACTCCTGAATCCGGCACACCTTGCACTACGATATCCGACCCCAAAAAACCTGCTGTAGTCACTGTAGTCCTCCCTGTCTGGCGAGGTTGGGAGTCTAGGTTTGGAATTGTTTCAAGGTGGGGAATCCAAAAGAATCCCTGTTCAACCCCCAAATGCGGCAATGCAAAGTGCTGCGCCGTGCCTTGGCTTCTTCCATCTTGTCTTCCAAGTCTTCTGGCTTCCCCAGGGCTTGCTTCACTTCAGCCTTGAGCTCGGCCATGATGGGCGGCTGGTCCTCAGGCTGGCTTGCTACAACCGTGGAGCCAGAGGCCTTGCCATCGGCACAGCAACAGGAAAAGAACATGGCGCCGAGAAATCTTTCAGCCAATCTCTTCTGAACCGAAAACTGTCGGGAAGTTCAGATGTGATGCATCCCGGCATTCCTGGAGACACAAATCACAAAGTGAAGTTTTCATGGTAAGCTGCGAAATCATCTGAATCTTCTGAGCATGCTTTGGCTGGTTGAACTGGTATTCAGGAACTGCCCGTGGCGCATCTTTGTTCCAGGCCTTTGAAGAACCCAGCTGCATCACCGGCAGTCGATTCAAATCCTCATATTTGGCCCACGTGCTGGCACAAGCTGAACCAAACTCCGCACAAACAACAAAAGTTGACAGTACTTTGTAGAACTTGGAACCGCTCCCAATCACTTGGGCACCATAACAAAAGAACCAAGCACTACCAGCAAACTTTATTGCTTGGATGTTGTGCCTTGCTGTTTGACTCTGGCCGTTCGCCGCTGGAAAATGAATGATCCAGTCACAAGCTGTGAATTGTGAATCGATAGCAGCAAAATTGAATCGCCACCTTGGAACCCTGACATGTCAACACTTCCAAGTCTTTTCTCGCCTTTTGCGAGCTCTTCGAGTTCTGAACGGCTCATTGGAGGCAAACCACCATGGACAAAAAGGGCACCTCAGTCGCTGCTAGCAAAGCAGCAAGGACAGGTAGGAAACTGTGGTGGTACCGCTCACCATGGATTGGGGAGGCAAACATAGGTTCTTCGGGAAATGGTAGAGACACGACAGCCATGAGGGCTAGAAGCGTGGCACTACGGAACCTGTCATCTTCTTATGCTGTGATCACACTGGCATTGTACAATCATTACAAATCTTGCATTCATACGTGTTACCAAATCAGCATCTGCATTTGTACATAGGCTATAGGCTACAGTATAGGTGTTTGTGTAATCACTAGATTGACAAGGTACCTCCCAAGACTGCCACCGCTGGCCTTTCAGAAAGCCATGCAGCCAGGCCGGTATCCACCAAGCCTTTGCGCCAGGCCGTTGCTGTTGGTCTTGTAAAACCAGGAATATGTGATTCTGGTCCCTCTCCTACTTCTTCTTTAGACCTTTCATTTCTTGTATCTATTCCTACATTTTCACCACCCACACACCCAAGGGACTTATCATCTGTTTTCATACTCAAAACGGCACCTTGTGATGCATGGTCTTGCCACACTTTCAGCCGCCCTCGCAGCGCTGATGATAAGGTCTCATTGAAACGCAAAGGTGGCCAATCCTTGGATTCGTGGGAACGCCAAAAAGGACCCTCAACTCAAATGGAATCTGCATCGGCTCTATGCTTACGGCCCACAATGTCACCAAAGTGAACTGGACCGATCTGAATCTTAGTCAACCACATACGCTGACACTTGAAGGCTAGCCTAAGCCGCCAAAGGAGCACAACGATTTACTTTGCTTCGAGCTCTGCCCACCCGATTTCCCAATGCCATTTGGAGAGCATTGTGCATTGTGATTTGACATTGTGGTTGCCATTGTGAGCCGTCATTGATGTTGCCAGTATGCTGGTTATTGCCGTTGTGGTTGCTGTGCCAAATGGCCGGACCTTGCTACTGCTGATCTTGGCCTGGAAAGTGTTCTTATCCGAGCGTCAAATATGCTGCGAGCGCCACTTCCAGCCAGCATGACCTCACAAAACTGCTTGGCTTTGGAACGGTAGAAGGTCGTACCCCAGCAGAATCATCGGAGATACTGACAAATCACCGGTCAATCCTGGGCATTGTGAAGTGAACCATGGGAAGACGGAAGAACTGAGTTAACATATTACAGTAGTATCAAATGGGGCTTCGTTACTGGCCCAAAATGTACTTCGAAGCACTCAATGTTTGAGGCTAGAGACTCGGCTTTCCTGATGTTGAGCATAAACGTTCTGCAAAGCAGCGAACAACGCGGGCATCAAAACCGTCGGATCGTCGGCCTGCAATGGCTGGGACAGGTCCCGCAATTCCACCACTCAATATGAATCAGGTGGTCTGTGGTGTGGTCAAGTCTATATAGAAGGATAGAATACAAGTGGTCGGGGAGGGGCTTCAGCTGGCTTCCTCTGCACGTGTCCAAAGCTAAGCAAAGTCGGAAACGCTGCACAACAGCAAAACCAAAGCTCATCGGAAAGTGCTTAAAAGGCACCCAAGTCTGCAGACTGAGCCTGCTCGGCCGTTGGCAGCCAGTTGAGGTATTCCTCCTTGGCTGAAGGCTGCCACAAGATGTATCAAATGTAGCAGGGAGGATCGACTTGCAAGGCCCAAATCGAGAGCAAAAAATGAAGCACCAGGTGCTACAAGCGATTGCAATTGTGGGCTGCTCCGACCCTAACCCAATTGGCCGATGTTGCAACCACGTGCACATTTGGCTGGGCCAGAAATAAAACTCCCTTGAGCAAATGGCAAGTGGACAATCCGGAACTGGAAGAATGCACATGCTGCCCAGCACTGGAAGTATACAGTACTGTTACTGGTACCTTTCAGGTCGTGGAGGACGATCCTCCTGAACAAACTGCATTGGACCAAGGGGCTGGGTGCACAAAGGCATAGCTAAAATCTTTCACTGGGGCGCCCATAAAAAGTGAGGCCCCATCAGGAAGCAGTGCGTCGGCCAGCGTGTACAAGTCATGATTGCCTCAGTTGGAGCAATGCCAGGATCAAAAGGGACCTCATGCAAATCCACGATTGGTCGAACATTGAAAGACAATGCAAAGAGCATCATATAGTCCATTGTTGCTATGGCCCCTGATCAACCCCATCTGCCTTTGCATCCAGCGGCCCATCAACGGGAGCACGTGCCCGGGAAAGCTTAGCGTCAGGTTCCGCACAAACTCTAAGACCTGTCGTCCAAAGGGCCCCCGGTCTACCTGAGCAAATCTGAATCCAAACAAAAAGAAGTTAAAACAACAATAAATTGAAGGAACCCCTTCCTTACCTTTCCTTCCCTGAGCGAATCAGTGTGAATCATGCAACCCCTCAGCAGCTGTTGTTTGCCACATTTCGACGTAGAATCTTCCTAGAAGCAGCAACTGCCAAGAGGCGGTTTTGTTAGCCTTCCTAGGATTCCCGAAAAGCAAAACATTTGTGCCACACAAATATACATAATATGCGATATATGTTACAAAAAGTAATATATATATATATACACGTGAATATATATATATATATCTATAACATAACATTCTACAACACATACACACATAGACAGAATAGTACTTCTTTGTCTATTCACTGGGCAAACCGGTTATACCTTCACATGAGCTACCAACTGCGTTGCTGAGCTGCGTAGTCGCCAAGAAACACTAAGGCAGCGTTTGCCCCACCTGTCCATGTCCAGGCCTTCAAGTCGACAAAGCCACTCCTCACGAGCATACAACAAATGCAAGCATCTTGACCTGATATTCACTATCTTTGATCCTGGATGTTTGTTGCTAACCTCAGCTAATAGCTATAGCAGTTCCAGCCCTGCAGGCTCCTTGGAAACAAAACATGTTCTTCTCAGCGGGGCTGTTTCAGTTTCTGTTGCACAACCCTGGCTCCTCCTAACCCATTGCTTTGCACAGTGGATATCTGCATGAAGGTCGCCAATGATGAAGGCCTCCTGCAAGAGGCTTCGAACCTTCTGGCAGGCTGTGGTCCAAATGTATGCCAAGCCCGCCGCATTGGCCAAGGAGAAGAAAAACGTTGGGGGGTTGACTCGGGTGGCTTGCAAAAATTGGAATTAATGGATGTTCGTCCACTACCAGGATGCATCTGATGCTCGGAGCCTCGAAAGCTACGACGCAAGTCCTTGATATCTGCAAAGCCATTGGGCACTAGCTGCAGGATGCCTGCCCGCGAATCTTTGGTCACATTTTGGCGGTCTGACATGGCATATTTTGGCGATCTGTGAGGGCTCACTGTGATACTGTGGTTGACCTGCCTGCACGAAAGCACAATAGAATGCATCCCAGCCAAAAGCGCCATGCAGCAGTCATGGACACAACATGGACTTGAAAGAAAGGATTTTGGTGAAGCCCATCTGCATCGGTGTGGGTTTACTCTCAGCACAGTGATCTCTATGAGCCGTGGGAACTTGATCTCTATGAGCCGTGAGCCTTTCCTGCTGATATGAGTTCAGGAGGGTAAGCTGCAAGCATCTGTCACTCTTTTCATCTTACGGGTTGTCCAAAGTCTCAGCTCAGCTTTGGTGGATGAGCCCCGCTGGCCACTTGCTCCAAGTCTTCCATGCTTCGTCTGCCATCCCATCTTCAAACTGATGCAAAGCTAGTTGCTCCAACTTCCCTATGAACGCATCTGGAAGAACATAGTCCCGAAAAGAATCCATGGCTTGCCATATATTGCCTCCACGGACAGCTGACACGAACTGCATCCGTTCCCTAGAAGTTTGTCTAGGTCGCCCTCATGACATTCCAACCTCGCCCACCTCAGGTGGGCACTTTCGGGGTCTGCACCGAGTGCTGAACACAATGCTTCTTTCACCTCACTTGGTCACTTGGCAAAGCATTGGATAGCGGCAGGGAACTTGAGGATATGAAACATGCATCATACTTGGATCCAAAGGCATGAAGGCGATTCAGCGTGCCATTTCTCTCCAGCCTGCAGTCCTCGAACGAAGGTCAACTGTAGCCTTTTGTAGGCCACCTTTGTTTCCAGCATACTTCGAAGCTTCGAATTCCATCGTCAGAAATGCTTGGCATTTGCTGCTTTGTCCTAATCTGCCTTGTATGCCCCGCGGGGCATGCAAATCTACAACCCCCATGCTTTCCATGACATGCGGTCACTCAAAAACACAGAGTTGATGATGCGCTGCCGCTGTGAATTGTTTTTTGATGTTGCAAACAGGTGTTCTGTTCTCCACAAGATCGATGCTGGGGATATATAATTGCCGATGAACATGGTGCCCTGTTGGCACCATGACACCCTTAGCACATTCCGCCATTGCAAAGGTACGTAAGAAACCTTGCTGCAAGTACTCCAATAGGTTGACCTCCGTCAATCAAACCTCTGGAACGAGGAGCACTTTAACCAGGTGCTGCCAAATCGCAATCATGGCCTGATAT